CGAACTGGTGAATTGCTAAATTGATCTTAGCTTTATGACTTCAAACCATAGGGTTGCAGGTCTACTTTTCATCACAAAGCAAAGTTCTGGAAATAGAAAAGCAGAGTCAAGAGGTAAACTACTTTATCTCCTACTTTTCTCCTTAGCCTTTGACTCAATTCTGCAGCTGCATTGGAGCTACTGATAGCTACAAACATCAGCTCATTTTAAAATAAATAACCATTTTGTTCTTGCTGATTATTCATGGCATCTCTTCGTAAATATTAGAAGTAATACAAAAAATACTGATTTTATTGCTCAAATATTAAGATAATACATCAAAATATTAGTGGAATATGAGATAACATCAAAGAAAATACAACATACTAACACAATTTGGAAAGCCTCTCTGTTGTGCCGTGACCATAGGACTCAATCTCCCTTAAAATTGAAATCAAGATGTTCAGAAGGTTTTCTCAATGTACAAATATGGATATATCCCATTCCAAAGTGCTGTCTTTCAAGTCAACATTAAGTTGAGACAATCATGCAATGGCTTTGCGCCTGTTAGGCATTCAATATCATATGAAGAAAAATGCCAGTAATCTTCAATCTGAAACAGGCAATAGTCCGTTTTATAACTATTCCCTTTCTCAACAGTTCATGGAGGACAGTTTGAGACTATGTAGGCAACAGAGAAAAATCTCTCAGAAGTGTCCCTGCATAGATAAACAGGGTGTGCTAGAAACCGTAGGTTGGTGAGCGTCATGTTTGTGCCTCATTCAGCAAAGGTGTTAAGGACAGTTTCACAAGATGGGATTTGGGTAGGGGTGTGTGCGACTGCTTCATTACGTCTTAATTTGAGACCTACTGAAATGAAGAAAAAGATTAAGGGAGACAATGCCAACAGCTTAATGCATATTCTATAGAATATGCACTATATATACATTATAGTCTATATGAGCACTCCGGGGAAGCCTGCTCTCTGACAAACCACAATTTTTCCACAATAAACCACAATTGATTTTCAGGTGCTCTGCAGAATATAAACCAGAATCACAATTTGTTAAGGTTAATCTAGTGATGCCTTTCAAAACAAACCCATTTCAGACACATCTAGCAAACAGTCCCCTTCCCAGCCTACATCCAAAGCCTTATCTTCAGTAAAAACAAAGTCGTTCCCTAATGAAGACTTCAATGATATCTTCTAAACCTGCCAATAATTTGCATTACATACTGCACCTAAGAATTTTAACTTGACCTCTGGCCCCTTCGAGGAAGTCATTAGTCTGCTCCAAATGACCCATACACTGTGCAGAAAGCCAGAGCCCCCAGAAATTCTCTCAAATGCATAATTTATCTGTCCCCTGGGGTAAGGCTGTGTGTGCCTCCATGCACACTCAAAAGGGTGAAAAGAGCTTTCCACATTCTTGAGTGTCTCACACATGGTCCTTCCAGGCCCTTCCCCTCTCCAAGGCACTGCATCCTTCCATGATCACATCTCAACGGGGGATCTCAACATTTTACTCACAGCTTGGAGGTAGTATTTTTTTGCATGCATGATGTACTCTCACAGGCATTCACATGCACTTCACTAACACAGGCTCTAGAAAGGCATGCAGGAGGGATGAGCACAACCCACTTAACACTGGACACACATTCCTGCCCGACTTCTGGCATGGGAGCACACATTATAAACACCTTCCCAAAAGGAACAGGCAGCAAAGCCTACTTGATGGCTTACAAGCCCCATGCAAATATGTGGTGTCTTCTGGTAGTGGTAATTAATCCTGATACCTTCTGCCAACTTAAAAAATCTATCCCTAATGAGGAAAAAGAAAAAGAAACAGAACATACAATGGCTATGGAGACTCCAGAGGAATGTAATGACTGAAACAAAAGGCAATAACGGCACTGTGACGGGGGTTTATTAATCAGTCAGAAAAACGTGCCTGAAATGATTCATCTACAGTATCAAATCCCAGCAGGATTGCCTTAAATTTCTTTCAGAAATTACAGCATTTCATGCAGTTTATGTTCCAGATCTTTTGCGATAGACCACTAAAGGGAATGATCCATCTGCTCTTCTAAATCAGAAAGGCGTGCTATCAAAGCAGGGCAGTCACTGTCCCTGATAGGAGAACAGGCTAAGAAGCACCTGGTCATACCCTCCGAACAAAGAAGGCGAATCAATGCACAGCACAAACAATGCCAGCCCTTACCCAAACTGCTACTGGTGCAATTCAAACAGTGATTGTAAAACTACAGTAAGAAAATGCAGGTCAGTGGGAGCAACAACTATCATTATGAAAAGGGCACACAGACTATAATGTGCAGAGATATGACAACACTGGAATGACTTTGGTATTTGACTGCATTCATTTACGGGAAGGTGTGTCTAAGCATCTTAAATATAGCCTTGTTCCTTTAAAACTTTGCCTCACTTTTGCTACTATGAGAAAGCAGGACTTGCACCAGACCCCATATACTTCAGTAATTCAGCTTTTTACTAATGTATATGTAGCCAACATTCCAAGTATGCCAGTGACAGCAGTGTGTTGAGATTTTGATATTTTGAGTATTTCCATATTCACATATAATTTTACACACTAAATTGATGCTTCCAACCCATCCATGCTAGGCCTTCTTTCAATTACATCCATTATCTCACTAACAACAAAGGTTAAAACATGAATTGAATGAAAATCTGAATTTGCTAGTTTCAATGATTAAAAATTAAATGAACTGAAGTTCTACTCTTCTCAGTGACAAATATACAGGCTTTTCAAGTAAAGCAGCAAGATTTTGTCTTCCTATATATTGCATGCACACCATGTGGCCTTTGAGGGGCACAGTGGTAACAGCTCATTCTAGATTCCTAGATTTCATTCATACATGACGAAGTCAGGTATCAAGTAATCTCTACATTTGATAAGGAAATTCCTACAGTAATGCTTCAGGTGGATGCCTAAAGATGAAGGAGAAAGAGTAGGATACTGTGACATCAAAAATGGATAGTCATAGATCTGGCAAGAATTACGAATGGAAGAGAAAAACTCACCATATGTTGGAAGGGGCTGGGACATGGATCAAACCTCACTGCAGTCGCCAGAAAACACCACGAAGTGAAAAATTAATCTTGTTGCAAACCATTACTCAAAGAGTGACTTAAAACTGTTAAGACTTATTTGATTGTTTGAATTAATAATCAAATTCTATGACAGTGCATCGAGTGGTATTACATTATCATATTATGATCTAAGTATCTGTGAAAGCCATGTAAAAAAGTTTCCTTTCTTCCCTCTCAACAAGTACAGTGATTCTTATCTAGTACGATCTTACACTGCTTGCTCCGGCTAAAGACAAGAATGTATCATAAAATATCTAATGGTGCTATACTGATAAGTAGAAAAAATTTTTACTTCTTCAAAGCACATGCAAGCAATTTCCTTATATTCATATTGTTGTTAGTCAAAACTAATCCAGTATACTTTGAAGAGAAATCAAGCAACCAAAAAAAAACACCCCAAGACATGGAGGAAGGCTGATGACCTGCCATTCTTTCCAATACTCTGCATGGTTTTACAAGGTGAATATTTATATAGCCCTTCAAAGAAGCTTTCTTACTAGTGTTATTTTAACCAGCAGTTTATAAAAATGGGATGTGTCGGCTTTTTTCTTTTCTTTTTTTTTTTTAAATCTCTCCTGTAATTTCGTCAGTAACCATTCAGCAATAAAAATCTCTCAAGAAGTTTGCCCTTGTTGACTTTACAGCCTAACTTCTGTGGTTCAGAATTTAATGAGCTTAAGTCATAATGCCATCACAGATGTAAAAATCTAGCATCTGTAATGTTACAAAGGAAAATACCTAATATTTAAGTAAGAATATGGGACATTTATAATTTTAAAAACTCCTAAATGCTTCTATTATTAAGAACTGTTATTACAACTCTTACGATACTTGTTACCTTATATGGTACTTGTTACCTTACAGCTAATAGAAAAGTGATTAAATGGCACATTATCGGGAAAATAATATAGAGATAGTACTGGAGATGACCTGACATTGACACAGGAGAGGAGACAGTTCATCACATCAGAAAAGCAGAGAAAAATTGACACAGCATGGTAGAATTTCAGAAATCTAAGTGTTCAAGAAGTTATACAGAACTCATGAGCTAATGCAGATGAACTGGTACCTTCTGTCATTATCCATCAGATGGTTTAACACTAGAAATACATTAAGTGGCTTTCCCTCTTGGCAATAAGTTCCAAAAAACAGTGGATAAATATGAAGCATAATCCAGCTTGAAACCACTCGAGCTTATGTTAAGTGAGTTGTTACTAGTAAATAAAAAAAATTGGCTTCCTGCGTCCAAGTAATCCCACTTTCCTTCCTTTCCTCTTCTGTTAAGTCCTTGGAACATCATCTATAAATGCAGATTACATTCATTCTACTCTTCAGCATATGACAGAATCAAGTTCAGTTTCACTGAGGTCTTTGCAGCGGCCTGTCTTCAGTTCATTTTGTGCTTTAACTGATTTACATGGTCACATCTCCAGGAAAAAGATGGTTTCTAGCACATAATTCAACATCAATACTGTGGTATTCTTTCCACTCCTGTACCCACCTGGCTATGGGATATACTTTTCAAAAGGTGGCTTCTAGAACAGTGCCCTAACTCCATGAACCACTGAACTCCCAGATGTGCAGAACTTAAGTAGACAATTTGTTCTCTCTCCTATCACAGTAAAGGAATATGTTTGAAACTAAAGAAGAATACAGAAGAAAGCAAAGAAGGAACAAATCTTTAAATGAACCAAAGTCAGAGATTAAATGGCAGCATTTTATACTAGTATTATTACAGGCATGTGCCAGCCAACAAAGCAGTACATCAGAAAAGCATATTCTGAGTGGCAGCATCCTTACTGGATCTAGTCTATTTACTTATGTTTGATAAAAGCAATATTTACTTACGCTTGTTATAAAAAGTGACATCGACTTCTACATTTCATTACAGATTCATATTACAAAAGAGACGATTCTGGACACGACAAAGGAAATTTAGGGAAATATCCCTAACTATCAAGAGAAGAGATCTGTACTGGTAGGGTTTATTTATTTATTCATTTTGCATGTTCTAAAGTGGGTGCACCTAACGGTTAAAAACATGATCTAATTTCTCAAGTGAGTTTTTAGATAACGTGAAACTAATGGGAATCTGGACACACAGGGTTCTTTTCCCGGGTAATTCTGTGAACTACTAGTAAAAAAATGATACAGATTTTCAAAAACAAATCACTTCCAGTTTCTTGGCAGAAATTTGGAAGACTTTCTCACATCTGCTACATATACTTGGCATTATTCTATCTATCCTATACTTTTCAATGCAAAGACATACAATGTGTGATGAGAAGGGAAAAAAAAAAAAAAAGATTTTGTTCTGCCTACTAGAGGAAAACTCCCTTTAGGTGAATTAAATGTTTATTAGATACCAAATCAGCCATTGAATCTAAACTAGAAGTAAAAATATATTATAACTGGCTTTCTATTTCTCCTATCCAACTTTCTCAAGCTAAAGATCCTAAAGATCCATTTAAAATAGTACACAGAACTATTTAAAAATTACCCAACTCCTCCTAATGTTTAAAAAAGTAAGGTTACATTAGGCAGCTATCCTGTTACTTCAAAAACAGAGACTGCTTCACTTGTCTGTTTTTGCCATTTGTACACTAGAACAACATGCAATGTTATTTTGGACAGAAATAATGTTTCTGAAAACACATTCTGGAATTTTACTGTTTTCTTTGAATTAATATGGATCTTACAATAAGTGGCCCTCTGGGAGAGCACATTTCTGATGTCTTTGCACGAAACATAGCTTCCTGAAACACTTCCTGTCTTGCACCCGTTTTTGGATATTATCACTGTTGTTTGACAAGAGTGAGGTAAGCTAGAATTGTAGGGATACTTTACAGCATTTCTTTGAAACTCCAGCGTCCTTAACACATTCACTTCCTCATCAAAACAGACTTCACAGTGTTAGAGGAACACCACTGTAATAATGACTTTTCAGGGTGCATGAGATGCCTTCCATCATCCAATCTCCAAGCGTTTAACTGAGGGAAGTAAAAGACTGAGCTTTTCAGGTGAGCAAAAATGGAAAAGAACGTGAACAAGCCTCATTATATAAAATGGAGAAGTGATACCACCTTTGTAGTGGCCAGGCCCAAACACAGCTGGGGAGGCAAGATGGTATCATTTACACAGATGACAGACAGACATTATATTGAGAACAGCAGAGAGAGAGAGCGACAGGTTTAAAGTAGTAAGGTTTATCAGCATCGTCCCACTGAGACCCACTTGGCTGACTCTCAGCAAATAAAATCGTACAGCTGCTCAAGACAACCAGTAAAGCTGAACTAAACCTATTTTAGTGGGAAAACACACTCTGAATTTGCACAGAGCTTAGCTATAATGTACCACCACAAACTTACATCCCAAACACCATTACAAAGCTTCCTGACATTTAAAACAAGCTTTCTCAGGTCAGGAGAGCCATCACAAAGCATTTTAACTTGTTCATGAAGTGGCAATCCCATAATTGCTAGCATGAGCTCAGTGAATGAATGAATCTTTCAATAGCATACGATTGACATGTATCAAACATACCCATATTGTCATTAAATAAGCCAGAATTAGTGCTCAGGTTATATTCACTGTGGTTCAGGACAAAGTTACTGTGGTGCTGACCGATGACGTCTGGAATACAAGTTTTACTTACGTAAAAGCATGTCAGAAAAGACAGAAAAAACATGCTGCACTGGTGTTTTGGTAACACAATTTCCACATCTCCTTACTTCCTTTTATCAAAGCGCCTTCACATGAGTCATGTGAATTCTCTCAATTTTTGTCAAGCAGACATAGTATACAACTTATTTCAAGGACACTGTGATGCATCTGTGATTTAAATCATGATTTGGTTACAATATCAGGGCTGGCAGAGTTCTAACACAGAGGTGTTCCCTCCCTAGGCTGTGTACCACTCATACTTCACAAGGGTTTGGCAGCAAGCAACTCAGCTCATCTATTACCACACTGCAACACTTCAGGGTGCAGGCCAGATCTAACAAAGCATTTACAAACTCACCTTGGAAAAGAAAAAGAAAAAAGAAAAAGAAAAAAAAAAAAAAGAAAGAAAGAAAGAAGGAAAAAAAAGTCTTTCCCCAAACTGATCTTGTCTCGCAAAAGCACTTAGCATGCCTTTGGCTGCTTCTGTCCCCACCTGGGCTAGGGCGTATACAGATGAAGTGCATGCATGTGTGTGCAGGTCTGCAGGGCCGCCCTCTCTCCTCCTTTCCAAACAGTAGCTTTTCAAAAAGCAGCTGCCATGGTGCACCTTATTGCACACAGTAAGCTAAAGGCTGATATGAGAAGGGAGCCAACACAGAAGAAATTAACTCAATTGTGCCTCCAGGAAAAACAAAGAAAATACAATAACTAATGTGAATGTTAGAGATTTCTAAATTTCACTGGGTTCGAGAATCGAATGACAGCCTCCTAACACTGTGTGAGGTTGCACTGCAATAAACATCATGCTGCTCTCAATTAAACAGATTGTTTATGCCAACCTAGCATCAACAATGCAGGTAGAAGAACTCCTGTTCCACTTCCCCTCTTTCTGACCAAAAAAGGGAGTTCCTTTATAAAATCCCATGAGTCTGTGGTTAACACACACTTATGAATGACTGACAGAAGTGGCCTGAAAGTCCAGTGCAGTGTTACAGAAGTTAGATGAATCACTTTGGTTTTATTTCTCCCAAGCCAGGAACAAAATCATCAGGATGAATGTAGCGTACACTATTCTTAATGAGCTAAAGGGACACTGACAATTAGTGAGATGGCTAAGGCATGCTTCATTTAAGCTGATAATTATCATGTAGCACCACAGTAATAGGAGTGGTGCGTTTTTATGTGTTGCTTTCTTGTGTTTTTGTTTTTTTTTTCTTTTTGGTAGTTTCTAAAATAATTTAGTGCTGGAAAGAGACTGATGGACTTGAGTAAGGCAAAGCTGCTGATCCCAACAAAGGATCTGCAAACCACTTAGTTATTAAATGTATTTTAAGTCAATATTGTAGTGTACAGGAAAAAAAATCTGCCAAAAATCAGATAAGATTTATGGAAAGAAAAAAAAAACGAGGAAGGAACCCTGTATTCGGCTATTTCTGGCATCTCACCTCCTTTGGCATCTCTGCCACAAGAAGCTACGTAAGTTAAGACAGCTGAGCTAGGAACCAGGAAAAAATGCTATTTCTAGATAAATGGGCAAAATTGTCAATTTTCATAGACTTTCTCCCACTCCTCTCCTCTAAACTGAGAGTGATACGTTTTTGCAAATCAGATTACGAAGGAGTAAGGCCCACAGACAACCTAGAGCCCGCAGGTATCAGGACACAACACAGGATTCCAACAGCTCCTGTAAAGAACTTTTAAATTGTCAGACATCATCTTCTTGCCAAGACCCTTGAACAAGTATTAAAAATCCATTTAGGAACCAACTGTTTCAGGAGCCTCACAACAAAGGTCAAAATCTTCCTGCCTTTCTAGCTCCAGAAATCCAGAAGCACTTGAGAATTATACAGTAACTGGTAATTCTATCTGCACTGTTTCAGCATAAGAGACCCCTGCATGAAGCTCATGCCTTGTGGTTTCTATTAGCCTACATCCCTCTTTACAGGGCAAACAAGACTTAGTAATTCTTAGGAATCAAGAAAATATGTAACCTCCCAAAGCCAAAAATGAAAACACATATACTGTTATTTACATTTGTTTTTCAGTTGCCTCAATCCCTTCCCCCCTTTTTTTTTCCATAGCTATACCGATTAGAGGATATGTGTGCATATACATATATACATGTATATATATGAAATAGAGGAGACTAAGTCAATAACAGACCAGAAACATTTAGGGCTTTGAGTCGATTACAAAAATTACCACAGTCCTGCAGGCTCTTCTAACAGTTCAAATCAATATTGCCTTGTGTTCTGTATGCACTGGCCCCTACCTCTTGAGATACATACAACTCATTCTTCAGGGACAAATTCTCTTTGATGAAATGGGGAAAAAATTGTCCAATCTTATGAAGCAGCTTAAATGATGTCCTTTCCTTTGACCTACTGTTAAATCAGAGACTTCATCTTTATATAGCTTAAAGTGCATGAATAATTCTGTAGGCTATAATGGGCCTTTTCATGGGGCTATCACAGGGTTTATGCAAAAGCACCTCAGCAGTAAAGAAAAGAGAAGAGGGATCAGGGATAGAGGAATGAAGGAAACAACACATGTAAGAGATGCCAGCTCTGTACAGGGAATAGGTCTGAGAGAAACAAAGGAGAATACGGTAAAAGACAGTAGCTACAGCTACTTCACTTAGTCGTGCACGTTGGCTTTAAATATTCACAGCATCCTTCTGCAGAAAGCATCCCAATGCCCACGTTAAAACATTTGTAATTTGAAGCATGTAAATGTTCACCGTTTCACCCTGTTAAACAAAACCAGAAAGAGCAGCAAGAGCGGAGCATGGATCATTTTGCCAAAGCTAACAGGAAGGCAACCCCTGTCAGTCTGGGTGCAGGTTCTGTCACGGAAATCTAAAGACTGGGAAGTATAAACGAGACATCGAGGGAAAAAAAATCACAAAGTCTTATGAGGACTGCAAAATCATTTCCAAAGTAGTGCAGAGGAAGTCTCATCCCTTGTGATCCTTAAAAGTAGATGGAACAAAACAGTGGAAAGTAGCCCAAGGAAAAAGCCAGAACTGGCAAGTTGACAAGCTATATGGAATAATCTTTTCTTGCATCTCTGATTTCTATTAATATTTTCGTGGCTCTGGAGGCAGCAAGGTAGAAGCTCTCGTTCATACTCCTTAAATATAAGCCAAAAGCCTCCCACTGTTCCACTTGGTAACACCAGCTTAAACTGCTCAAATACACACAGACTTCTGAGAATGAGTCAAGTTCCCACTCAAACATAAATTATGCCAAAAAACGCCCAAGATTATTTCAACTAATAAACACTTGGTTAAAAAACATGTCAAATCAACTTGGT